TTTTGTAGCCCTCTGGATCGACATCAACAACTACAACGAAGAGTAAAATGTTCGAGGTCCCAAAAAGCCATTGGAGGGCCGCTTCATCATCTCGGAGTTCAATGTGGATCTGAGAGAGAACCGGGGGCGAATAAAATGAAATTTGTGCACCACTATGGTTACCTTGTACGGGACCGGCTCCCGATTAGTACCCGTGAATGGAAGAAGAAGACCAATGCTCCTCATATCAGTTTTGTCTTCCGATCGTGACAAGGCGTTAATTTGGAATGATGTCTTGGTACATTTCACGCTCCAAACAGATGGTTTTGATGATATAATAGATGGTGATGAATTGAAGGAGCGAGTTAGGGATTGGGCAATGAAGAAGATGGCCACCCGGTTTGGACTTGGAAGAAACACATATACACGACGTATGTCAAGAAGAACATAGCACCAGATTTTCTTGTCCCCAGCCCGATCTCAAAGCGAGGCCCTATTGGGATGAGTTTGTACAGTACAAGACTTCGAAGAGGGTGTGAGTCGGGTGATAAAGAACCAACGTAATGCCCAACAAGACATACCACCATACCTTAGGATCGGTGGCTACCCAACCGCCATTAAGAAGTGGAACAAAATGGAAGCGACCTTCTTGCCAAGGGTATCGGACTGAATCACTCGAGTGGGGGGAGAACGTGCAAAGAATTGGTTTTTCGGTCATGGGGAACACTAGACCAGAGAGCAGGGAAGTGCGTTTATGGCGCAAGACCGCAAGAAGCGGCAGAAGATTGTTTTATGCTCGAGAGAGCTACTGCTAGTGGTGCGTTCAGTCCAACAGAGAGAAGGATGAGTGACATACGCCATCGGGATCATTGAACATGGTGGCCAAACTAGAGGCAAAGGAAGTGTCTCGTGGGAGCATGGATTCCCTCAGATGACCTTCTTCTTGAAAGTCGCCAGAGAAAGAAGGAAGAAGAGGCGAGAGCGGGCTCCGAGAGATTGGAGGAAGCGGTGCGTGAAGCACGAGGCGGGGAAAAAAACCTTGAAGCGAGAATGCAGGAGGAAATCGGAAGGCAAGTGCAAATAGCGGTGAGTGCAAGTAAGCGGCATCGAGCCAAAATCAACATTAGCCAATCTGCTCGGGTTGAAAAGCAACAAGCTTCCACGGAGATACCAAATCAAGGGGACACAGGATCGCGCTTCCCTGTGGATGACGTCCATCGAACCTTGTACAACGTGTGAGCTACACATTTCAAGGAGAATTCTACAATCAAGGTGGCTATCGGTCTTGTTAATCCTATCGACCGAACCAAGACACCAAGGATTCATGGGAATATAATCCAAGAAGGATATGCTACCATCTCGGTAGATAAAGTCAAAAAAGGTTTTAGTGATTTGCCTCTTGACATTCCTCGAGGTGATGGCGAAGACTCTAGGAGAAGCGGAGAAGACATTCATTCTATGGCGCAAGCGCTACATCATCATTCCAGGGATGTCGGCTCCACCTCCTCCTGAACTACCTCACCATAGGTACGTGCGGATGAAAACACTACATCATTAATTTGTATTGGCTTAAATAATTAACAATCTGCTCATAATAATATATCATTCCTTTTTTTGTAGCAGATCCTCCCCCAACCTAAATCCAATTGTTCAATCGCCAGATCATCATAGTGCTCAGTACGATGACATTATGTTGGAAGACGAGGCTGCATCTACACCATCTCCAAGGAGGTCTCCAACGCCGCAGCCGCCACCTCCAAGGAGGTCTCCAACGCCGCTGCCAACACCTCCAAGGAGGTCTCCAATGCCTCCCCCGCCCCCGCCTACCAAGAAGCCTAGCAAGAGGCCAACCCCTCAAACAAAGAACCAGTCCTCGCCTGCAAAGAAAGCCACCGTGAAACCAAGGGCTATTCCCAAAATAATATCTGAAGAGAAGAAAGAAGGAACTGATGCATATAAAAAAGACATGTCTAGATTCTATGACAAACTTAAAATGAATCAAGAAGCAAGGAGAAACTCAAAGAAACCGTACTTCTTCAGTAGCTCCGGATATTCTAAGAAAAAGGTGACTTCTTACCAAAGAACAACAAAGGAATCTCGTAAGCCGTCCAAATCAACGTTATCAGACTATGACCGCACTCTCACGAAGTCAATTGAGACGGCATAGAAAAAGAAGCGGGCAGGAAAAGGCATTGCCCAACTCGGACAACAAGCGCACCAATCAATCCCCCCGCTAGTTGTTGGTAATGAATATGGTTCGAATTCGTCTACCAGTGGAGACTTCTGCGTTGGTGTCAGAATTAGAGACGAACATTGGTTCCGTGGCGATGATATTATGTATGTTGACTTTGCAGAATTTCATCAACTATGCCACCTGACCTCTCTGGACAAAGTTATCATTAGCTGCTATTGCCTGTAAGTAATAATTCTTTCGATCTATTATTAAACTCATCATATGTGTGTATATGCATATAAATTATCCTAACAAGTACTATATATATGCAGATTTACAATGACAAAGCTCAGAAAGGAAGGCTGCAATGAAATTGGTTTTGTTGATCCCCATATAGTATTCGAAGACCTAATTACTCCAAAGACTAATTGGAAGTCTGAGTCAGAGAGTAACCTCATAAACTTCTTAGTGAACCAACGCCACAAGAAGGATATACTCTTTCCCTATAACTTCAAGTGAGTGTTAATCATGTCGATCATATCCTTAATGGCTCATATGTTGATTCTAGTTAATTAATGAGTGTTATGCGTTATATCCTATAAACACATGCAGCAATCACTGGATATTGATGGACATCGATCTGGTGAAAAGTCACTTGATAATCTATGACTCGATGAGAAAACCACAACAAGACTACCAAGATATGATAGATATTATCCAGAGGTAATTTCGAGATCTCTAGCAACTATATATACACACAAATATGATGATTAACTATATCTGATGACGTGGCAAATTTTTTATTGGGCAGTGTTTGGAAAACCTTTATTGAGAAGCAACACATGGAAAAATGCAAAGCACCACTGAATGTAATCTCTTTGAAAGTAAGTCCCCTGAATCGCATCATCTTTATTAATTAAACATATAGCTTTCACCGGATCACCAGATTGAATGACAAATCTTTTTCTCGTAAAGTGGTGTCTAAGGCAGGAACAGGGGAACAACTACTGTGGTTACTATGTTTGCAAGTTTATCAAGGTGCTCTCCCAAAGAACTCCTACAGAGAGACTCAAAGTACGTTAAAAAATACACTATATATTCATTTAATTATTATTATTGATTGTGTTACTATGTCTTTATATATATATATATATATATATATATGTACATATATTAATTTATTTTCCTTTAATTCAAACCTGTAGACTCGATGGTTGGAGGAAAAAGTCATACGGCAAGACCAAATCAAAGCAATTCAAGAGTCTATAGCCGGATTTTTTAATGAGCAGGTCATCGATTCCAAGGGCGAGTTCTACTTCGACCCAACACTGCCATTGAAGCCAAGCTAGAGGATGAGAGAAAACTTGTTATGTCACAACAACTGTAATGCAATCTTTTGTAATATATGCACATGAAATAATATATGCGCGTATATATGAATGCATGCATCATATATATATATTTACATGCATGCATGCATATGTGTATTTTACATTATATATATATTTCTATGCTTGAATTGTGTGATTTAATACGTTCATTGTGCTTGAACCGAAACATACTATATGCGCGTATAAATGTATAATTAGCAGCGTACAATACGATTTCGAAAACCTATTTTGAAAAGAAAACAAAAAAATGAAAAGAAAAGAAAAAAGAAAAAAACCTTTAGTCCCGGTTCGTATTACCAACCGGGACTAAAGGTGCCGGCCATCGTGGCATGTCAGGAGGCACCTTTAGTCCCGGTTGATGTTACCCACCGGGACTAAAGGTCCTCCTTTAGTCCCGGTTCCTGACCCGCCCGGATGCTTGCTCCCGGGTGGGGAACCGGGACTAGAGGGGGTTCCCCACCGGGAGTAAAGCTCGGTTCTCTACCAGTGATCCCTGGTCGCAAGCAATGCCGATGCCATCACGCAGCTGGCGGATCAGCGGCCCGCCGTTGCCTCCTCGGGAACAAAGGTGCCGGCCACCGGCGAGCACCACGGTCGCCGCGTTTCCATAAGATGGATTTTCCCAAGTCGGCGTGGCCACCTCCGCCGGGAGGGCTTCTTTCGGCCATCATCCGTGGTGCACTACAATCTTGTTGGCTCGTTTTTAGACTTCCCCGAGTGCTGACGATTTGTGGTTGCGTGGGAAGATCAATTTCTCTGTGGCGGCAGCATGAAGCGTAAAAAGAAGAGCAACGAAGGCCCGGTGGTAGCTTGAAGTGCGTGGCCCAAAGACACGGAACTAACTTGTGTAGCAGCAGGGCCCGTGTCGCCGTCGTCCGGCACTCCGGCCGGATGTACTCCACGTCTCCACTCCACTCCACTCCACCTATATATACTTCCGTTGGGGGTTCCTCCAGCTAATCCGGAATGTCCGTGCTCATCAGGGATCATGGCAATCGCGAGCAACACTGGCTGTGGCTCCACAGTTGGTGCGCAGCACGGCAGCTAGCACCCACCCGCGTAGTGGAAGCTCCGTTGCTACGTAAGGACCCATGTGGCAGCTGCCTGTGAGATAGCGTGACCACGTCAGAGCGCCTGCCAACGGCGAGGAGCTCTCGTGCAGGACAGCACGATCCCGACTTGATCTCCGCTACCAAATATAAAAATCTTCAGCATACGTGGCGTCGACTGCGCAAATGTGCGTGTAGACAAATCATCAACTTTGTTTTCTTTACTGCGCCTAACATCAGATCGCGTCCATACCCGCGAACCAGGCATATAAACTCAGGTTTCTGCTCGGCGGTTCAGCGCAATCGGTTCTGCTCCGATCCCTGATCTCGCTACCGTATGAATGCGCTAGTTAATACTTCATACTGGCCCTCCCTCTGCGCGCGCCGCGGAAGATCGTTCGACTTCACATGGCCGACCGAGGATATTCCACCCTGACCAAGCTAGGCTTGGGCGCCCTGACCTTCAACTCGGCACTCGCCATCTACAACTCCTGGGGCGACGCCGGCTCCGTGGCGTTCGCGCTCGCCGCGGACGCCGCGCTCGTGCTGCTCTTCCTCTGCCTCCGTGAGTTTGAGCGGGGCGGCAGGGGCAGGGATGCCAAGATCAAGGCCGCCGTGTGGGCGCTCACCACGCTGTTCACGGCCATGTTCGCCTCGAGGGTGGCGCCGCTCATGCCGCCGCCGGTGGCCGCGGTGGTCTGGCTCTTGGCCGTCGCCACGGCCGCAGGAGGGTTCTGGGCGTTTTTCCTTAACTAGTAAATGTCCGTGCGTTGCAACGGAAATATGGAGTATGCCGAAGCACCGAGGTTTTCTTTACCCACTTCCTTCGCAAGTGTGTATAAACATATCAACTTTACTGCCCCCGCGGGCCACTTCACCCAGAATCCTCTATAAAAAGGCACCCGCTGCCATTCCTTCGCCGCACATCCTGCAGAACAGATAGCCAACGATATTGAAAAGTTTTGAATACCAAGTTTGTTCAGCTCATCAAGATCTACAATCCTTATATAGGCTATTTTTTCAGTTGAGAAAGTTTGAATAAAATGTAGTTCAAATTTCACAAGTGTGTGACATAGTTTCAGAAAGTCTATATGAGATTCAAGAATTTGTGACTAGTGTTTGATAAAACTTTCTCAAATGGGAAAATGAGCTATGTAACAATTGTATATCTTGCTGAGATGATCAAACTTGGTATTCAGAGTTTTTTCATCTGAGGTCATTTAGTGTCTTATTTGAGCAAGTTTGACCAAGTCAAATTTGGTCAAATGAAAAAACAACACTTTGACTCTAGTATTATGAACTCTAAATGACTTCAAATTGAAAAGTTTTGAATACCAAGTTTGTTCAACTCATCAAGATCTACAATTTTTGTTTTGGTCAACTTTCCATTTGAGATAGTTTGGACGGTTCAAATTTGTGATTTTTAAATTTCGACGTTTACAAACTAGTTTTCGGAACCCTAGATTGTCTCAAATTGAAAAGTTTTGAATACCAAATTTGTTCATCTCATCAAGATATACAATCCTTATATAGGACATTTTTTCATTTGAGAAAGTTTGAACAAAATATAGTTCAAATTTCACAAGTGTGTGACATAGTTTCAGAAAGTCTATATGAGATTCAAGAATTTATGACTAGTGTTTGATAAAACTTTCTCAAATGGGAAAATGAGCTATGTAACAATTGTAGATCTTGCTGAGATGATCAAACTTGGTATTCAGAGTTTTTTCATCTGAGATCATTTAGTGTCTCATTTGAGCAAGTTTGACCAAGTCAAATTTGGTCAAATGAAAAAACAACACTTTGACTCTAGTATTATGAACTCTAAATGACTTCAAATTGAAAAGTTTTGAATACCAAGTTTGTTCAACTCATCAAGATCTACAATTGTTGTTTTGGTCAACTTTCCATTTGAGATAGTTTGGATGGTTCAAATTTGTGATTTTTAAATTTTGAATAAATATCCGGATAATATCTGTTTTTAAATATCCGGATATATCCGATACTTATCCGGATTATCCGATATCCGCCGGATATCGATGATATTACATCCGTATTTGATATCCGCCTAAGATATCCGTTTTAGTATCCGTATCCGAAAAAAAACGGATATCTGAGTAACTATCCAGATAAATGTTCATATTTGTTCGGTCGAACGGACGGTCGAATAAATATCCGTACCGTTTTCATCCATACGTATGAATGCGCTAGTTAATACTTCATACTGGCCCTCCCTCTGCGCGCGCCGCGGAAGATCGTTCGACTTCACATGGCCGACCGAGGATATTCCACCCTGACCAAGCTAGGCTTGGGCGCCCTGACCTTCAACTCGGCACTCGCCATCTACAACTCCTGGGGCGACGCCGGCTCCGTGGCGTTCGTGCTCGCCGCGGACGCCGCGCTCGTGCTGCTCTTCCTCTGCCTCCGTGAGTTTGAGCGGGGCGGCAGGGGCAGGGATGCCAAGATCAAGGCCGCCGTGTGGGCGCTCACCACGCTGCTCACGGCCATGTTCGCCTCGAGGGTGGCGCCGCTCATGCCGCCGCCGGTGGCCGCGGTGGTCTGGCTCTTGGCCGTCGCCACGGCCGCAGGAGGGTTCTCGTCGTTTTTCCTTAATTGATGCTTTTGCGAGTCGATGTCAGTCTGCGTCTCGCTGCCGGACGTGTTCATTTCCTTCTTCCTTTTTTTTTTCTTCGTGCACTTTCTTGCGCCCCGTTCGTTTGTGCTTGTTTGGCTGATAAGCCATGGCTAAAAGTACTGTTAGCTAATTTGACGTGAGAGAAAAATACTATTCGTTGACTGAAAAAGTACAGCTTATAGACCAAATAAGGCCAAACAAACGTGGCGTTGTATTATTTCCCAGTTCGTCACTTTGAATAAAATCTGCCTTCGAGTTTGCGCTGCTGGCAGAGAGTAGTCCTATGCTTCTACCCGTTGACCACCGCTCGTACGTCCTGTTCACTTAGCTTATAAGCCGTAGTTTTTCAGCCAACGAATAATATTTTTCTCTCACAATAAATCAGCCAACAGTACTTTCAGCCATGGCTTATCAGCCAAGCGAATATGACAATAGTCGCCTCAGCGTGTGCTTGATTTGAGACATGGTAGGACGGAACTGTCTTGTCCCAGATTTTTTAGGTCGACAAACCTGTTCTGCGTTTGGTTGAGATATTTTTCGCTTATTTGGTAGAATATGGCCGTGATTCATGGTGTCGAGCTTTCGTCACGTCAACGCCACGTCGACAGCCACGTAATTCGTAGCCTCCAACCTCATGACGTCGAGACGTGTTACCCCGGTGATGGTGATGTAGGGCATGGCGTTGAGAAAAGGATCCAAAATTGAATTTACGTCGTCCATAGATGTAAACGTGAATTTTGACCCAAAAAAAGGCCAAATTGCAACAAAAAAAAATCGGCCGAATAGAGGGTATATTCCACTCGAAAATAGTCGCGCCCCTACCGGTCCTCAAACATCTTAAAAGTAGGATCAATTCATTCCATCATCCTCTATTCGTCAATCTCTAGAACCAAACACATACTAAACGCCGTTCATAAAATGAACCAAATCATATCATATGGCCATATGGGAGTTGAGCTAGAATCTCGATCGGCTTGATATGAATAGGTACGCGGTTGGTGGACGGTGGCGGCGACGTGGCGCCACTTCGGTCAGTCGGCTGGCTGTGCCTTTACACACGTATGGGGCTTTGAATTTGAACACTGCTGCGTTATGATATATAAACGTATGCTAGCGCCAAGGCACACGTTGCACGTGTGTGCATCAATGCAAGTGAGACGTGGTGGATCATTGTCCGTACCAGTGTCCTTTCGTCGCTTCCACACGTTCAGCATCCATCCGCCACTAATAAATGACTAAAGCATAAATATCTTTCCTTGGCTTGATGAAAAAAAGAAAAAAAAAATTATGTAGCCTCTCTTGACTATTGCATGGGTCCAATTTGCCTCACTCAATTAGAAACTGGATTTTTAGACTCTTCTAAATGAAATCGTCCGGTTTATCTCCTGGGCTGTTTTAAAAATGGTTTTTGAATAAATTGTATGGTTTCAGAAGTTAGAATTAAAAGAGTTTAAAAATTCTGATGTTTTAATTGAGAGAAGTGAATCGGATTCACACAATATATAATCTACTAATATAATATAAGGATCCGAGGTCAAACGAATTTTTCCCGGAAAAATAATAGCATTGGACCTATAATGGATTCCAGTCCGTGGAAGGTGGTGGATCGAGAACTTGTATCTGGTTGGCCCAAAAGCCCAATAAACACTAGCTTCAGTAGGCCCACGGATCGTCCCCAGTCGAAGGAGCGAGAAACAAGACTCACGTGTAGCTGAGGGTGACGCGACAGTCCTTGCTGGGCCAGACCGATAATAATGTTGTAATTAGGGTCCCTCCTTTATCCTTTTCCCTTTTCGAAATTATTTGTCATAGATAATAAAAGAAAAAAAGAAGACAAAATCATTACAGGCTTGAATTAAAGAAAAAAAACTAGGTTCTTTGCCTTCCAATCCAAGCAAGCAAGGTAGGTAGCGTGTGCGTGTTCCCCGTGTTCCCGTCTCTCTCTCTTCACGCTTTCATTCTTCACGACCTTCACACGAGTCACGAGCAGACAATCTCGTACACCTGCGTGCAAGCTGTCGTCTTAGAATGGAGGACCAGAGGCAGAGAGTCGCTGGCGTGGACGCCGCAGGCGGCGGCCTCGGCCGCGCGGGAGCCGTCCTCCTCACCGCCACCTGCGCCGCAGCCACGTACAGGGCGGCGGCGGCAGGGGACGTCGCCTCCGTAGCGTTCGTGATCGTCAGCTACGGCGCTCTCCTGCTAATGCTCCGCTTCCTTCGCGCCTACGAGGTCGCCCCGCCGGAGGCGGCTGCCCGTAGGGAAGGGCTCAGGCGCAGGGTCTGGGCGCTCTGCACGCTGGTCACCGCCATGTTCGCCTGGAAGGTTGCCGGCGTGATGACGTGGCCCGTCGCGCTGGGCGTCTGGGCCGCGGCGGCCGTGACGTCTGCGGCTGGCTTCGTTCTCATGTTTCGTCAGCGTCGACCCTGATGAGCACTGAATCTCAGATTCCGAGTGATCGGCCCTTTCCGCCAGCTTGCTTGTTGATGTGTTCATGAGAGCTAGCATGATCGGCTGGCTCTGTGTTTGGAAAATATTTCAGGTACGTACACTATGCAGTGATCATTTGAGCGCAAACACATATACACGACCCTATTGATCACGACCATTTTCATTTTGATCGTTCTCACTCAGTTTCATTCGTATGAAACTGAATATCGTACTAGTTTGCTTTGGATATTAATTTGGATGTTGGATCTTTCTTTCAAATAAAGAAGGGGAAAAAAACGAATGGATTGCAGGGTATTTGGTACGGCGCGGCATCGATGGATGCTTAACCTTTAAGCTCCAAAGGGTGTTTAGATGTTTTTGGAATGGCAAAACTTTTGCTCCTAATCTTTTGCTGTAAAACTTTTGTCATTCAAAGTTTTGGCATTTGGTGTTTAGATGTATGGCAAAACTTTAGCCATGCAGACACAGTATGCGCTCCCAAGACGTTTTTTTGTCCAGTTTTGGGTCTCTTGGGTCCCAAATGTCAAAAGTTTTGCAAGCTAAGTTTTGTTGTTTTTGCCTATGGTGTTTAGATTCATTTTGTCAAAAGATAAGATAAAACAGTAAAAGTTTTGGCCAAAACGGGAAACTAAACCGGCTCTCTCAAACTTTGTGGTGGTGTGCTAGTGCTATACTCGACCATTATTTTACTTTTGGCAGGTTACCATGCACGATGTTGTGAGGATGTGATTGAAGGTTTTCACCTGTGCTGATTGGTCAAGGACATGGTTTGCTAGCTAGTTCACACAGTCAGGATACAGATGTGCAAATATGGCGTGTATTGATATATATTGTGCTTTGGATGTAATACTGAAGATGAGGTACCACGTACACCACTTGTATTGTGCGGGTTCGCTTGTATATTTGCATATGCATTGCTCCTTTATATTGTGAAAAATTAAACTTACTATCTGCGTCGCTCCTATTTTGGGGGTTTACGGTTGGCTTAAAGCCAGCCGGCTGACTTGTTTTTCCTCTCACATAATTACTATTCACGTCCTGTCAGAACAGTATTTTTCTCTCACAACAATCAGCCGGAACAGTATTTTTCAGTCCTGCCGAACAGGCCCTTGAATTTTGATGCTCCTAACCTTGGAATATAAAACACTTCAACTAGCAGGTCATGTTTGAAAAAAAAACTGAACTTCTTTCCAGCGGTGGAAAGTGGATATAAAACACTTCACATGAGCCAGCAATATATTAAGAATGAAAGTGGATCGGGTCAATTGATTTGGTAGTTGATCCCATTCAAAATAAAAGTGTCTTGTTCGTTTGGCTGATAAATCATGGCTGAAAGTACTGTTGGCTGATTTGTCGTGAGAGAAAAATGCTATTCGTTGGCTGAAAAAATACGGCTTATAAGCCAAACGATCAGGACGAAGACCGTCCTCTGAGTCACGGTGGCCAGCCTCATCAAAGTTCAAAATCGCGATGTGCTACCATACATGACATTTGAAGCGGCATTAGGTTGGAGTAAACTGCCTTGAACCCCATCTAAGGAAGAAAAACAACTGATTTTGATAATTGGAAGAGCTAAGGCAGCCGGTTTTCTAGTTTAACGAGGTAAATGGAGCTAGATAGTTAAGAATGTCAGGAGGAAAATTTTCTTTATTTATTATCTCTGACGGTGTGACGGTGAGTCGGTGGCCCTCCTCTACCTCCACGGGGGGACCTGTGGGCTGTGGCGTGTGCGCGTGGAAGCCCAAAGGTTCCAGCTGGATTCATCATTGTGTGCGACGCAAATTTTTAAGAGATGGCCCAGAGCTTTCGGTGGAGGATGGACTGGCCCTGTAAGGGAAATGCTATATGTCGATGAGTCGTGCCTCTAATGGACCGCAGACGGCTTTTTCACTCCGCCATTTGCTCCCGTCCGCATGTATGTTTTTTTTTAAAAAACTTATCCCTTCGCTTTCTCCTCCTCATCCTTACCCCTTCCTCACTCCTCATCCCCTGCCACAGCGCACCAACGTCCAGCGTCCTCCCCCACTCCGGCGTCCTCACCGAGAGCCCTCAATGCCCGCAAATCCGACGACCATCTCCTCCACCTCGGCGAGATCCATGGAGCACGAGCGAGATCCACACGCCTCCAACGAGATCCATGGAGGTGGCGCGGCGGTGTTGCAGGGGAGTGGGCGGCTCTCCCTTACCTAGCACGGCGTCCTCCCTACCCCGGCAATCGAGCTCCCCCACCCAGGCGGCCATGGCGCTCCCCGCCCCCCTCCCCCCATCCCCCACCGTCGCCGTCGAGCCAAGCCCGGTGCCGGTGGCGCTGCTGGTGGTGGTGCTCGAGGGCGCCGCTGATGCAGGTGTTGGGTGCTGCTCGCGCGTAGCCGCTCGCCGCCGGCCCCCACCCCGTCGACCGGAATCGATCGGCCCAGGCCTCTCTCCTCCTATGTTGCAAATGTATATTTCAATTGTTTCAGACGTTTCAGAGGCATGTTGCAAGCCTTTGTTCAAACTGTTTCATCTGTTTCCAGACGTATGTTGCAAGCGTT